CCTTATTTATCTAGTGCTGCTATAACAGAAATACCAAAAGTGGATGGCTTTAACAAACAAAAATTAATTCATTGACAGTTTTGGAGGCTAGAACTCTGAATTCAGATCTCCAGCTCTAGGAGAATGCTTTCTTTGTGCTGGCTAAAGGAAAGATTCTTGTATCCTTTCAATGTCCATAGGCCTTAGAAATTCCTACTGGTCTTTGTATCAATCTCCCCTGGGTCAAGGAAATTCTCAGCACAGTGACCCTGGGTCCACTAGTAACAAGCTGTCACCACAGGCCTGGCTATCAAGTGGAATAGTGTTCAATACACAGGGAGAAATATTCATCACAGTATTAATCACAATAGTAAAAAGATTGAAGCAACCTAAATGTCCATCAGTGGAAGAATAGAAAAACAAATTTTAGTATATACACACAATGAAATACTATGCAACATAGAATAATAATTATGAATTTGTGAAATATCTCTTAATGTGGATGAGCCTGGAGGGCATTATGCTCAATGAAACTAGTCACTCACAGAGAATAAATATTGTATGATACTAATATTATAAAAAGTCAAGAAATATAATCACTCTAAAAGAAACATTCTTTTATGACTACCATGGGTAGGAGGGCTTGGGAAGTAGTTCACATATTTGTAGGTAGACATGTGTTAACTTGAGTGATAGAGAAAGCAAGATACAAAAAGAAGGTTGGCAGAAAGATGAAGGCAGAGAAAGATACCAGGAGTGCAAGAGTTAAAAGGAATAGAGTTGAATATTGTTCTTTACATAATCCTGTAAATAACAGCAGTTCATTGGTACTTACATGAATAGTTACACAGACAGAATGGGTGAGAGACAGTAAATGAGAGTATTCTCACAATATATAAACATTTTACAGAGGATATATGTACATGAGAATTAACTTTTGCTACAAACATATCCATGAATGTGGTGGAGCATACACAATTATAAAGGATTCTTCTTGTTGTTGTGAAGTGCTGTTGAGTTGATTCTGACCCATGGCAACCCTATATAGGGTTTCTGTTTTTCTAAAGGTAATAGAGAAATGGCTGCAATCATACATTGACAGAGAGCTTCCAGATGTTCAAGCTGGATTCAGAAGAGGCCGTGGAACGAGAGATATCATTGCTGATGTCTGATGGATCTTGGCTGAAAGCAGAGAATATCAGAAAGATGTGT